CCTTGGAACTAATAAGAGGTGTGACTGCTTCCATGGCAGTGGAGACCAGCGAGATGAACTGTTGTGGGTTCTGTCGATGAGCTTCACTATAAAATTGTGCTAACCAATGAGAGTAAGCCTGGAGCGCTGCCAGGGACTGAGCATGACTGGGAAAAGAGAAAGAAGACTACATTTTAAAGCTTATGGTAATAATCTATCACCAACTAAATAGTTTTCTTGCAGGACAGGAATTCCATCAACCTTCTATTTTACAAAAGTGGTACAAAATTCTATTTTCAAAACATGTGACAGAGACAGAGGAAATCTGTTATCTTTTCATATAGCATCAAATAAATGAAAAATGCTGGACACTTTACAGTGTAATAATCAAGAAGATGGTAAAATTACAAAAAATATAACTTATAAATTAATGTATAATATTCGGAATTACTAGCTTAATTTCACACCAACAGTTGTAGGCCAGCTATTCAATGTTATTAATTAACAATTAAAATCAACTTTAATTACAGTTCCTAAATGGCAAGTGCTTAAGGGAGCCTTATTAAGGCACTAAAATAGAAATAAGATTCTGGAGCTCAGGAGTCCTACTGGCTACATAATAAATTTCAGAAGATGGGACCAGGTTTGCTTTTTCCAGATTTTGCACTGTACCTTGTGCATCATTAAAGTTAAATAATTATTAACAAATGAAAGAGAAATAAAAGTAATGTTATGTCCTTAAGAAAGCAGAGGTAAGGGCAGCTAGGTGGTGCTGAGGATAGAGCACCAGCCCTGAAGTCAGGAAGACCTGAGTTCAAATCCGGCCTCAGACCAATCACTTGACACTTACTAGCTGTGTGACCCTGGGCAAGTCACTTAACCCCAATTGCCTAAAAATTAAAAAAAAAAAAAAAATTGTGGATCTTCTTCCCTTTAAAAAAAAAAAAGCAGAGGTAGTGGTGAAACCCACTAAACAAAAGATATTTTAAAAATTATCGTCTTAAAGTCACTTAAAGAAAATATAAGCATTAGGTTGTTGAAATGTCTAAAAGTTGGAGCACTACTCTAGTTATTTTGTGTACAGAATCAGTTTGATAATTGTGCTCTTTACCCTACTTATAAGAATGCATTGCTGAATAGAAAAGAGATAAGAAAGTTTATATTTCCAATCTGAAGATTTTACTTAATGCATCATATTTAAATTTATAGATGTGCTAGATTAGTACCTGAAAAACCTGGAGGAAAGAGAAGCTGGACTCACAGAATTTCAGAGTTAAGAAGTTACTTCACAAGTTACCTGTCCAACACTTACCCAAAGCATAAATCCTCTCTAAATTATCCCCCAAAATATTTATCCAGTCATCAAATGAAACATTCAGTGATGTAGAGTTCACAAAAGGCAGCCCATTTCATTTATGAAGAGTTCTAATTTTTTAGAAGCTGAAATAACTTCCCTGTAATTGTCACTAACCAGTCCCATGGTTCTGCCTCTCTTAGCTAGTATTTACTGATTTATTAAAACGAGATACATATCTCAGTTGAAATAAAATAAAGAAGTAAATCTCTGGCCAAGACAAATCAAAGTACCATTAGAAATACTATCTTATTTTCCACGAGTCTAACTTCAGATTTCTTTAAAAGCTAGATATACTAATACTAAAAGACATAATGCATCCTAGGGCATGAGAAATTCAAGCATTTATACTTTGTTCACACTTCCCAAATCCGGAAAGCTAGTGAAGAAGGTAGCAGGAAATGGAAAAGGAATATTAACATACGCTTTTAGCAAAGATGGGAAGGAAAGAGAAAGGGAAAAAAGAAGACAGGTAGAGAGGGATAGAGAGAGAAGTAGGAGTAGCAAAGGAGAAGAGAAAGAAAGGAAGGAGGCAAAGGGGAGGAAGAGAGAAGAGAAGGGAGGAGAGCAAAAAGATGAGACAGAGGAGAAGAGGAAGAAAAAAGAGAATAAAAAGGGAAGAGAGAGAGAGAGGAAAAGGGACAGAATGAGAGAAGATAAAAGAAAGGGGAGGGAGTAAGAAGGGCAGGGAAAGGATAGGGAGAAGAGAGGAGCAAAGCGTGGAAAAATAAGGAAAAAGGAGAAGGGAAAGGAAAGAAGGAGAAGAGGAGGTAGGAAAGGAAATATAGAAAGAAAGGCAAGAAGAGTGGAGAGTGGAAAGGAAGGAGACAGAGAAGGAATGAGTATGGCTAGGGAAGATAAGGAGAAAGAGAGAAAGGGGAGGAAAAGACCAGAGGCACAAATATGTATATGTAGTATAGAGGGGCAGAATACTTATAATTAATATTCTCATCCCCACTCTACACCACCCTCATTCCTTGACTTACTTGGACCCTGTAAGAATCCTGTCAAAGAAAATCTTGTACCTAAGAAACAGAACTTTTAGACCCAGAGAGCAAAAAAAATCCATACTCACACATCAATGAGGTCAGGTTTCAATACTGATGGCACAGCAGTTTCAATGTTGTACAATTTTATCTGGGAGCCATATAGAGTTACTTTAACCAATCTGTTGGGGAAAAATGCAGACCAATAGAAAGCAATAGGGAAAAAACTAACTACATTATTCTACATCTATCAGAATAACAGGACTAATAAAACACTAAAAATGGCTTTCAGAAGCCAAAATGTGATGAAATTTGCTGTTTTGATGAGTTTAAATGGATAGGAATAGGCATTTTTGTGTAACAGAGGGGCATTATGAAACTTTAAATCTCTTTTATAAACTGTCTTCTGTTTAAATGCTGTTTGAAAATGGTTTGTACTAAAAGAGATACTGAACATTTTAGAAGAGTTTCGATAGTAAGGCTAGATTTCATTTTAATCTCTATGATAGATGAGTTGTAAAAATTGTTGGTTGCTAAGGGGAACACTGCATACAAATTACCAGTAAATACCCTAACAGTAGCTAAATTTCTATCCCAAGAGGAAAAATTCTACTTCCTTTGAAGTGGAAAATTATTCCCTACTGATTGGGAACAGACAGCCAGAAATATTTACCCTGCTGACATGAGATATGCACCTAGGCTTTCCATTTCTATTCAGAAAATGACAAAAAAAAAAGGACTTTTTTTCCCTCCAGAACTTCTCCCTCTGATAACTAAGAGAGAAAGGTGTAAGTGGCAAACCAAACAAAAGCCCTGAGATTTTTATAATAAATTAAGGAAGTAGGGAGTCTATTATTTTTAGCATCTATTTAGCATCTATTACTTTTTTCTTTGAAGCCATAAAAAGAAAAAAAGAGAAGAGCTATGAATCATAAATTAAGAATTTATTTTTAAAAAAAAAGGTAGCAAACTGTATGCTGGATTTGTTTAAATTTTGCTCTATGTTGTCACTTTATAAATGTACTTCTTTAGTACTTTGATCTAGTGTACTCCCACCAACCAAGCAGATTGCAACCCATCCATGTTTTCTGTCAACCGTCAACATCTTCCTATTAATCCTCCCAACATGCTGGAGGCTTTCTTCTAGATATACTGACATTGTAGAGATGCCACGAAGCACTGCAAGTTGTCCATTTGTTATTCTTCCCCTTTCACTGGATGATTGTCTCACCTCCTTTTAGGATAATATACCTTTCTGACAACATCCTTTACACCCTGGGAGCAGACTACCCAGACCCCCTCCTAGGAATGATGACAGCCTACTCATTCCTCAATTATTAACAAACTCCCACCCTCTCTATCCTAGTGATTCTGAATCCCACCCCCATCCCACACTGACTACTCCCTTATTCCCATCCCCCTCAACCCAAACCCTCAATGTCTCATATTACAATTACCCATCACTGCTCTTTAAGCAATAAACTTGCTTTCATCTTAAAACCTTGACAGCTGGCTCTCTCCTGACACCCTTTCCAATACTTTTATCATAGCCCTATAGCCTTAATCACTGGCCAAGGTGTGGGAGTGGGAGTATGGCTGATTCCACGCCACTATCTCTACCATTATCACTCAGTAACCTCTGCTGCTCTGAAATTCACTCAATCTACATTTACCATTCAGTCAAGATTCTGGTAGTTATCTCCCAACCTCCAAGACAACCCTCTCCTCAATCAGTTCAGTGCCTGGCTCATAATCTTTTTCTCCTCTCTAACTCCTGCCTTTATACTAGGAGACTTCAATAATGACAGTCCTTCAAATACCTTAACTTTCCAGTTCCTCCATCTGCTCCAGCTCTTACGACCTACTTCTCCATTCCACCTCAGCTGCATACCACAAAAATGGGTCATGCCTTTGATCTTGCCATCACCCACAAGTATTCCACTTCCCCGATCCTGAAGTCTTGAACTCCTTTATGTGATCATAATCTGTTGTCATTCCACTCTCACTCTGTTTTGTGAACCCTAAACTGTCCTCACCACCAACGAAATTTCCTCCATCTTTATAGTTTCACATCTCTAACTGCCTATCAGATATCTAAAAGCAAATGTCCCACAGACATCTCAAACCTGATATGTCTAAAATTGAACTTATTCATCCCTCACCAAACTCTGCTCTCTTCCTAACCTTCCTGTGACAGTGGAGGGCACCACTATCCTCCAAGTCCGCCAGACTCACAACCTTGAGTCCACACACCCTCATCCCCTCATATCCGATCTGTTGCTAAGATCCGTAGATTCTTACTTCATAACATAGCTCTTCTTTCTCTCTACACCCTGGTGCAAGCCCTCATCAGCTCAGGTCTGGACTGCTAGTGGTTAGTCTTCTAATTTGCTCTCCTTGCCTCAATTTTCTCTCCCCACTTCAGACTATCCTCCACCCAACTATCAAATTGATCTCCCTAAAGCACAGACTTGACCATGTCACCTGTCTATTCAATTAATTCCAGCAGATCCTTATATTACTACCCCTAGGAATAAATATAAAATCCTTAGTTTGGCTTTTAAAGTCCTTCATAACAGTCTTCTTATACCTTCTTTTCTCTGTCTTCACTTTGCCACATAATTTGAGTTCCAGTGACATTGGCTTCCTTGCTGTTCCTTGTACAAAACATTCATCTCTTGACTCTGATCATTATTGCTGGCTGTCCCTCAAGTCTAAAATTCTCCCGTTCCTTATCTCCACCTCCTGACTTCCATGCCTTCCTTCAAGTCCCAGCTAACAACCCACCTTCTAAAACAGGCCTGCACAACCGGCTACTCTTAAGGCACTCGGGCTGCTTGCAGTATGCCAAAGGATTTTGGGTGGTCTGTGAAAAATGTAGAGGAAAACATCCCTTGTATGTAGAGGAAATTGTTTGGCGTGCCGCAAGCTGAGGGCCACAGGTTGTGTAGGCCTGTTCTAAGAGAAGTCTTTCCAGATCCCTCTCAGTTCTACCACCTTCCTTCTGTTGATTATTTGCTGAATACATCTTGTTTGCATACTGTTGTCTACATGTAGTCTTCTTCATTAGAGTGCAAGCATCTTGAAAGTAGGGACTGTTTTTACCTTTCTCTGTATCCCCAGTGCTTAAGCACAATGCCTAGTATATAGTAGGTGCTTAATAAATGTTTGCTGACTTGATTATGTCATATCTCTTAAGTAATTTGTTGGTATTATGTTGTATCACATCCCTCCTTACTGCTTTTTGGGTAGCCTACGTCTTTAATTCTTCAAAGACTGTAGTATTCCATGAAAGTCATTCATTAGCAATAGAAGAATAGTGATGTTAAGTAGCCTGAATTAGGGAGCTACTTGGGATCACTAAAAGCATTAGGCAATTTCCAAAAAATCCAGCACTCCCTTTTTTTCCTATTGTTCAATTCTGGGACCTGTTAAACTACACATTGTAGTCCGGACAATGGGTTTTCTTTAGTCATTTTGTTTTTTCCTGTATGGCCAGTTAGAGGATTCTGAACCCTTGAGTGATTATAGCTCTCACTTATGAAGCTCTGAAGTGTTCCCAGACTTGCTGCAACCACAATGTTACCCACAAACACCTGGAGGACCTCACAATCTATAGTGAATCTCTAGTTCCATTTGGGCTCTGTCCAAAATATCCTCTATGGCAAAAGCAACACTTATGGTGAGCTTATATCACCTTGTTTTATGTCTCACTTGATATTAATAATCAGAAGATCACTGAACAAAGTTATTTCTGCTGCATCTTTCAAGGAATTGTTTATGATTCTGATACTTTGAAGACAGATCCTCAAACAGCATTTGTTCCACTGCATCAAATGCATTTTTACAGTTAACAAAAAGTACAATGGGATCTTGCATTCCCTGTACTTTCTGGTCAATTGTGTAACTTCCAAAATGTGGACTGCCATGGAATATATATATATATATACATACACACATACGTGTGTGTGTGTGTGTATAAAATACATACATATATATATATATATAT